CCCCAAAAGCGCAAGACAAACCTCGGCCTTGTAATCGTTTTTTATTCATTGTTTTGATCGGCGCGGCCCCCCCGCTCCCCCCTCCCCCATGGAGTAGATCTTGGCTGTTTTGGGCGCCTGTTTCGAGCAGGTGGAGTTCCCCTCATAGGACCCACTGCTGCAAACAGTCGCGCTGAGCAGAGGTCCGGAGCCAGACACCCCCCCCTTCCCCCCCCTCTTCCGCCCAATTTCGAACCGCCCACCGCCACTGAGCCATGCATCCGGCAGGACGCGTGGGCGGAAGAGTGCACGAATGGCAGCTCCTCGGAAAATCCCTAACAGATGCGAGAGTGCGGCACGCCACCGAAACGGGAAATGTGCGGCCGAGCAAAAACAAATGCCGAGTTTTGAATCGACTACGCCACCTTTCTTCTCGCTGAGCCGGCGCTGGCCGGTTTTCAATTTAAGTAGCTCCAGTCATTGAGCGACCTAATTAATCCACAGCCATTTGTCTGCTGCTCATCGGGCTTGTCATGGCATTCGCCCGGGCGAAAGAAAGAAAGAAACAGATGCCCAATGCCGACACGCCGAGCATATAAAAAATAGAAGCGCCCTCCCTTCGAGCTGCCGGAAGCGCCCCCCGAGGGCCGGCGCAGAGGTCGGGGGCAGCGTCGGTTCGGTCGGGCGTGTCCCCCTACAGGGGGATTTTCGACGCAACATAAAAGGTACTCCAGATTTCGTAATAAAAGGGAGGGGGTCTGATTTCGGGGGGGGTCTCTTCTAGGCTATCTTGGAGGGCCTGGGGGGGTCTGGGGACGATGTTTTGGAGAGTTCTCCCACGGGGGAGGTCTGAAATGGCTTGTCCTGGAGGGTCCAGACCCCCTCCCTTTTATCACGAAGTCTGGAGTACCCCACAAATACACCGAAAAGGTCAAAAAGTATTCCAAAAATACTTCCCAGATCATTTTTTGGTTATTCTGTGATTCTGTTAGGGGTATGTTTTCAGTTTTCGTGGAACATCCCCCTGTAGTCAAGGGCGTAAAAAACGCACCTACCCTGGTTGATGAGGCGCTGCGCTGAACCTCCTGCGGGCTGACAGGGTAAACCCTGCGTATCGCGCGTGCCGCGCGGCGTCCTGGCGACTCTCTGGCCTGTGGGAGCTCTCAGGAGGTTTACCGACCACGCACTTGTAACCCGGGGTAGGTCAGAGCCCCGAATCATCAGGGGTAACTCGGGTCAGGGATAACTCGGGTTCCTTTCTCGGGAATCCGAACCCGAGTTACCCCGGATAACTCGGGCGTCCAGAGCCCCGAATCATCAGGGGTAACTCGGGTCAGGGATAACTCGGGTTCCTTTCTCGGGAATCCGAACCCGAGTTACCCCGGACCCGAGTTACCCCGGATAACTCGGGCGTCCAGAGCCCCGAATCATCAGGGGTAACTCGGGTCAGGGATAACTCGGGTTCCTTTCTCGGGAATCCGAACCCGAGTTACCCCGGACCCGAGTTACCCCGGATAACTCGGGCGTCCAAGTAGGGGCGGTTTTTGCATTCCTCATGTAGGGGAACAGGCCCGACTTAAGCTCAGGGAGGGAGGCACCGACCCGCCGTCGCCCAGTGGATCGCGGACGGGGGGCCGACGGCCGCTGCCGACCAGACTCACGTCGGGCCTGCCCCTCTACAGGGGGAGTCTTCAAAAGCAGTCAAAAAAATAGTCTGGGGGCGATTTTTGAGCATTTTCTGGCCATGCTGGAGCATTTTTGGAGTACTCTTAATCTTCCGCCCAAGATCCCCCCCTGTAGGGGGACAGGCCCGACCCAAAACCAGACCGCCCCAACCCAACCCGAAGATCCGAGGACTCCCTGCAAACTTCGGGCTGGGGGGCGCACAGGTTCCGCCGTGTTTGCTCGACGTCGCGGGGCGTCCCCCCGCTGGAAGTGGGCAGGCCCGGCGGCGTCTTGGGGCTGGGATGGGCTAGGGTGGCCTGGTGGGCAGGCAGACAGCCCACCCCGCCGAGGGCTGCGCGGATTCACGCCCGACATAACACTATGGGGGGCCTGCTGCCGATTTGTCGGCAATGCAGCGCCGATTCAAGCTGGATGTTTCCTCCCCTGCGCCAGTCCTCTGGTGATCTTCGGGTCGTACCTCGAGCCTCTGGCGGCCGTTTCGGGCGATCCGGGCACCCCCGGAACGCTCTCTGCGAGGCGCGGCCGCTGGAAGATGTCCCGAGGCTGGAAAGCCGCCGAGAACCAAAACGAACACGCCCGAAAACCTCGAGCCTCGATCAATCTTCGAGCCAGCCCCCCCCCCATCCCCTGACGCTGTCCCTCGAAAGAGACTGGTGCGCCCGGGAGCGGCGGCGGCAGCGGCGGCGCCCGCGCCGCTGGGGCCTCGCCTCAGCGCACAGCCCGAGCCCGCCGCCTCCCCGCGCGGTGGCGCCGCTCCCGGCGCCGCCGGGCCACATGGATGGCGGCGCCCGGGCCGGGGCGCAGGCGCCCGCGCCCTCCGCCAGGGCTGGCTGCCGCTCGTGATCGAGGAGGAGGAGGAGGAGGAGGAGGAGGAGGAGGAGGAGGAGGAGGAGGAGGAGGAGGAGGAGGAGGAGGAGGAGGAGGAGGAGGAGGAGGGGGTCAGATCCGGCCATCCTCACGTTTCTTCTCCTCATCCTCCGATGTGGTGCGGACGGCCGCGTCAAGGTGGTTCCCAGCAACACCACGCACGGACACGGCGCCAGGGCCGGGAGCGCGCGTGGAGCGTCGCTCTCCACGCCTGGCCGTGCCCCCGTGATTGC